TCCTACATTTAATGCTTTCATCTTTTGTATGGTTGTTATTCCCCTCATTTAATGCTTTCACGTACATATATGGCAAGTATTTGATTGTTGCACGTACAACAACTGCAGAAATGTAAACCCCATATATATATATACAAACGAATTAAAAATGAGAAGTACTTTTTTCTAAAAAAAAGCTAATCCAAACGGGCCCTTAGGGTCTTATCACAATCTCCAAGGAGAAAATTTCCTAAGAGGTATGAATAATAATATGACAAGGATCACGTTTCAAATAGAAAAATTATACTAATTATATACAAATTATAATAAATATGACACTGAGGAGGGTTAAAGCACCATTTTAAAATTTTTGAACAAAAGAATTGTCCAGTTAAAGTTGATTGAATACGTTTTTTCAAACTAATACAGTCAAACATGTGACTTTAGTCCCGTCAATGATACTGACGGGACTCGTGCCATGTCAGCGCCACGTAGGCAGTCTCATTACTGTAAAACTTCAGAAGATCATAGCTTTTGACTCGGTATCCAAATCAGATTTTTTTTTCATTTCACATAACTTTTTAAGATCTACGCATTGACATCTCGTTTGACATATTTTATCTCCCACAAACATAGTTTGAATTTGCAACAATAGTCCACAATTACAATATCATTTAAATACAGAAGATCCCGATTTATTTCCAAACCAACACAATGAGCTGCCGCATGTGTCATCTTTTGAATTTACACGCTCTTGTTATTGTAGTACAATTGTTACAAATTCAAACTATGTTTGTGAGATATAAAATATCTTAAATGAGGTGTCATTGCATAGATCTCCAAAAGTTATGTGAAATAAAAAAAATCATCTAATTTGGATACCCGAGTCAAAAGTTATGGCATTCAGAAATTTTATGATAATAAGAATGCGTACGTGGCACTGACATGACACAAGTCCCGTTAATATGAGTGACATGTTTAATTGTGTTAGTTTGGAAAAACTTATCCAATCAATTTTAACTGAATAATTCTTTTGTCCAAAAAATTTAAAAATAGTGCTTTTCCACCGTGGAGTGGGTGACTCTCACTCACAATAATTCATATTATTATTATGATAAGTGCATCTATAACAAATCCGCAGTAAAGTAGTAATATGTAGATTGCATGACTCGATCGTTTGGATTTTTTTGAAAAACCGAACCGAATTGATTTAAATGGTTCGGTTCAAAAATGGTTGAATTCGGTTCGAAAGTTGTTCGATTCGAAAGTGGTTCGGTTCGGTTGAAAACGGTTCGGTTCAATTCGGAACCGGTTCGGGTCGACCTATTATAAAAAGAAAAAAATTTAAAATTTAAAAAATGAAGTTATAAAAATCAATTTGATTTGGTTTGAGAACGGTTCGGTTAGGAAACGGTTCGACTCGGTTCGGTTCAAAATGATTCGGTTCTTAAACTGATTTTAAAATCCGGTTCGGTTCATGAACTGGTTTCAAATCCTTTTTTTCCTGCTTGTCAAATATGTACATAATTTAAGATATTATAAAATAAGAATGAATCAATTATTTAGCAATTATTTTGAAGGAAAGATATTAGTCACAATTTGTTAGAATATTCTTTAAAAATCGGTTCGGTTCATGAACTGATTTTTAAAAATTGATTATTTTAATAGCGGTTCGATTCGGTTTAGTTTTTTTTTTTATTTTACACACCCCTGTGCAATACCGTTAACAAATTAAAATTATCCTAAAAAATAAATTCATAGTATTTGATCCAGAATGCAAATTAAAATTTCACCAATCTTGTATATAATCGTCCGTTATAATTAAAATTCACAAGAAATAACACATAAAAAGTACTAATCATATAAGGAGATGATAGCTTTAAAGAATCTCAGAACCTCAAGCAACCACCCAGAAGCATCGGAAGCCCAAAGCATTGAAAGAATTTTCGCCACTTTTTCTGATTCCTCCTAAGGGCTTTGAGTTCTCTTTCTTCCCTTCTCATGCACACCATGAGATCCTCTTTATACATGACATCAATAATTTCTTAATAGTCATATTTGCCATAGAATATGTCTCCCATAGCTTCATGGTGAGGTCTCCGAACAACCTGCGACTCCCATTGCTCTGACATACACCCACAGCTACAGTTGCTGCTCATTCCTCCACCATCATCCCCGCTAGCACAGTCAACACCTCGAGAAATTCTTTTAGCCATAAAAACCAAAGGTTTAATAAGAGTTATGTTGTAGGAAAAGTGATTGTGTTATGTTATAGAGATTCGTTTTGCGTGCCAGAGTTTTTTTTTTTTTTTTGGTTTCAAAAATTGTGGGTCCAACAAAATGTTGTGTGTGTAGAAAAGTTGTTGTGGTCACGTTAAATTATAGATACAAAACCCAAAAACCAAATAATAATGATATGAACTAAAATAATTCAATTTTATTTTATTATTATCGTCTTCTAATGGAATCCTATAGGGACTAGAAATTTAAGTGGACCACCACATTATGGAAGGTTTTTCAAATGATTAGGCGACTCCAAAATAGCAAAACCACCCCTGATATAAAAACAGTTACAAATGTACAAAATAAAATAAAAAATGAAATGTATAATTAAATTTAAAGATGCTTTTACTCAAAAAAAATATATTAAGCAATTGTTGTTCAAGAAAGCAGAATTAGGAATCAGGAAGTGCTGTGAAGCCCGAGTTGGTTCCTATTTAATTGTTGAGCTCATACAATGATCACATATTTCTTCCATATTTTAAGCAGAATAAAAATTTTATTTCAAAAAAAAAAAAAAATGGGCATTTAAAGAAAAAGCCGAAATGGTACTTAAAAAAAACTATTATCGGAGTAGATTAATCGAGGCGGATGCAATAGATACGGTAAAATAAGAAAATTATAATTATGTATTAAAAGTAGAGGAAGGTTATACTTATAATCTTTTTTTTACAACCTCTTACAATCATATCTTAACATTGTTAATTTTCGTCAATCAACTATTATCATTTATTATGAATTAATAATTAATTCATGAATTTAATTTGCGAAAATAATAACCGTTGATTGACGGAAATCAACGGTGTTAAGATATGGTTGTAAGAGGTTGTAAAAAAAAAGTTGTAAGTATAACATTCCTCAAAGTTGAGGGAGGTTATACTTACAACCTTTTTTTTTACAACCTCTTACAATCATATCTTAATATTGTTGATTTTCGCCAATCAACGATTATCATTTATTGTGAATTAATAATTAATTCGTGAATTTAATTTGTGAAAATAATAACCGTTGATTGACGGAAATCACGGTGTTAAGATATGGTTGTAAGAGATTGTAAAAAAAAAGTTGTAAGTATAACATTCCTCTTAAAAGTAAAATAGAAATTATTTTAAAAACTTTTTAAATAATTAAAAAAAAATTAATATACAAATAATGGGGAAGGTTATACTTACAACCTATTTTCGTTTAATCCTCATATCTTAACCGTTGATTTTCGTCAATCAACGGTTAAGATTTTCGCAAATAAAATTTATTAATTAATTATTAATTTACAATAAATGATAATCGTTGATTGACAGAAATCAACGGTTAAGATATGATTGTAAGAGGTTGTAAACAAAAATAGATTGTGAGTATAACCTCCCCACAAATAATTATATATATATAGGGCTTTATTAGTCTCATTTTACATAAGATAGTTATCTTATATTGTAGAGAGAAAAAAGGTGGGTCCCACCATTACAAGAAAAAAAAAGGTGGGATGCAAAAATCGAAGTGAGAGAACATGAGAGAAATTATCTTATGTGAAAGGAGAGTAATATTTTTCATATATATATATATGGAAAAACGTTTGTCCTTCCGAAGGATATAACTTTATGTTATTTTAAATTTTAACCGTTAATTTCCGTCAATCAACTGTTAGAATTTATTGGGTCAAACTTATTAATTAATTAGTAATTCGTAATAAAATCTAATAAATCTTAACCGTTGATTGACGAAAATCAACGATTAGCATCTAAAATGACACAAAGTTATATTCTTTAAAAGGATAAACAGTTTTTCTATATATATATATATGGGTCAGAATCGTAATAAATCTTACATCAAATCTTAATCGTTTATTTTAATAGATTTAACGATGGTGATTTATTAATAATTTATAATTAATTAAAGAGTATAACTGAATAAATTATAACCATATGATAGACTTAAATTGGCAAACAAGAAACAACTCCATGCCAGACTTTTTTATATTTAATATAGGGTTTAATATTTTTGTTTTTATTGCACACAAGAAAAAATTATGTCACACTCACATAAAAGTAAACGAATCTCACTATTATCTTCTCTTTATAATAAAACCTACTCAGTTTTATAAGAATGTGCCAGAAAAAAAATTGCATCAAAAGCAAAAACATTTTTCCCTTTAATATATGTTAGACTAGATTCAAAATATTTTCTAATTAAAGAAAACGTTCCAGCTCATTCCCGCTCCTATATACCTGCATAATCTAAATAATTTTTTAAAAGGCTCTATTAATCTCATGTTGCATGAGATAATAGCAACAGAGATAAAATTGTGGAGTCCATTACTTTTTCAAAAAAAATAAAAAAATAGTAGATTCCACTATTTTGTCTCTGTTACATGAGATAATTATCTGATGCAACATGAGATAATTATTTCCCCTTTTTAAAATAAGTCAAAAGTTCACAATTTCTTTTAATTATTCTTCATATTTTCTGTGGTTTAAATCGAATCCAATATTTTTATAAGATTTTCCAAGACTAGCGATGCGCTCTCCAATTTAATAATTGATATGGTGAATTTTAATAATGGTGATATTTCTCTTCTTAATCCTTTTATTTTGATAATACCAAATAAAAAAAATTCTCACATAAATACTACTTATATCTTATTAAATTTACGGACTTAACATCCGCATTTAACCTTGACAGCAGAAAATAAATGATGGAAAGAAAGAAGCAAAAAACATAATAAAAGATAGACAATTAGACACGATGGTATTTCTTATGCCGGAAAACAAAGTCAAAATTAAAGGATTCGGTATAATTTGGCTCTCTGTGTATGTGATATGTTACCTACATGTCTTCTAATGCAACAGGAAGAACTCAAGCCAAAGATATAAGGAAAAATTTCTCTATCAAATCATTTAAAAAAGCATGCTATCCTTTTTAATTTTAATTTTAATTTTTCCAATATTAAGAATGGTAGGTATGCCTTATATAGCCTGCATCTCCAAATCAGTATGCTCATTGTTGTTAGCTGAAGAAGTTTCAGGATTTTCCTTGTCATGAGTAGACTTCATCTCTTGTATGGGAGGAGGGTTTACTACGGTCATTTCTGAGAAAAGATTATCTGATAGACGTCCCTTCATCTCCCTATGCTCCTGACACAAGGCACACCAGTGCAAGCAGCAGTGCACACAACATGCATTACAAGGTGAATTCTGCATTGATAAAAAAATAAGTTAAGAAAAACTTAAAAACAAGGTTTTTAAGAAAAAAAAATCACAGGAAAGAATTCACAAGATCATGTGAAGGTATCATGTTGCAGGGAAACACAGCAAATGCTGTATGGACAGAATATGCAATTACAGCCATTAGGCGTTCGATCTTGTGGTTGCCTTGTCTAAAAATTATCAGTTACACCAGGTAAGACTAAAGATGACATGCAAATGATAGTATTAGCTTCTATTTACCCTTCCTTGAAGCATTGAAAAGGAGATGACAGCATGGAAAGTTTCTTAGGTTTTCATAGTTAGATACTAAGATTACAGACCAGCAAGCCTATCATTGTTTCCTTTCCAATTATGTAGTTCAAAATATGCATGTATAGTATCCACTTGCATTAAAAAAATGCCATATCACTAAGGTAGGGTTTGTGACAGAAAAGGCTCCTGCAGAGGGAGATGGTTTTTAACATGCAACCAATTCTACATTGCACATCTGAAGCAAACACAGAAGCATGTTTCTCAGTAAAGGATGTTTGATGTATACCATTCCATCCTTGATGTTGACTATTCGTCCAAGTGAAAACGATTTTAACACATTTACCTTCAAGTGATATTTCTTCTGTAAGGATTGCCGAACTTGACCGGTGTAAATGCCACACATCCACCATGTAAACAATAAACCCTCACAAATGAGAAATGACGTCCCCGGGTCAATACCAGGCAAGATGGAAGTTGCAGCTACAGTTGCTATCGCCAGAGAAATGCCACCTTCAACAAAAATGGCATGACAAATGCATGGCCCAGTCCAAGGAGTATCTTCCCTCAAGCTTTCTACGTTGCGCCCAAATAATACACAAGGACAAAACAGTCCTCTCAAGCCTGCAATGAACGCAGAAAGAATATATATATATAAAAATAAATCTATTTTATACTATAATATGTCTAATGTCACTGCAACGTACAAACTACTATCATAGCCATACATATAAATTATTCACATTGAAGTGTGAAGCATTGCCCCACCATAATTGAGTGAATAAAGTATGAAGAAACTTTGATAGTAAGAGGACAGCTTGATCAAAGGAAGTGTACAATGAAATTTTATGTGATACATCAGCTCACTCTTTACTTTAGTTTCCACCTACTAGTTAGTATTCAATGCATGGACTGGCATTCTAGCATTATATATGCTGAGTTTAAATCATATCAATTGGGAACAATTACATTGACAAAATAGTTACAAATTAAAGGCTATTAACACGATGACTATTAGTCCCAAATCTCAGTTGACTAATCTAAAATAGGTCATAGTTACCATCCTGATTCTAGTACAATTTGAGAGCATGGGCGTGCATTAACTTACAACTTTCCCTATCTTCAGCACAGCCAAAGATCCCAGTCATCCAAGGTTCATCTGCAGGAGGTGCATAGCTTTCAGGTAGTGGCTGTCTACATTCAGAACACTTACGAACAGCCAACTGCAAAGTATCAAAAACCATGTGCAAATATTTATATCGAACCATATGAAAATTCACTCAAAAGCCCAAAGAAACATGTGCACAAGATTTTAACATTTTCATATTGTTTTGACTTACAAATCCATAACTAATAAGTGAAAATTTAAATACAAAATAGGAATAGTATAACTAATTCCTCTTAGTGTTTTTTTTTTTTAGTATAACTCAGGGTATCCCCTCAGCTAACAGCCGAAGATTAATCCCCTCGAGGCATAGAGATCACCGAAGTGGGTTTTGCCTCTACCAACAAAGCTTTTTCCATACACATGGTCAGGAATCGAATTTCCTCTTAGTTAACTTTAAAGCATTATTGAATTTCCTCTTTTTCCTCCATCATGAGTCATAGAACCACTATATCAACTAGTGTTGTACTGAGATAACAGCAAGAAGCAATGGAGCCTAATTTTTTCCTCCTATAAGTCCTAAGCTGTCATGTGTAATAGTTCTACTCAATAATTCATCACTAATTGACAGGTAAAGGAGCAAAACAGTACTACTATGCATCCAAAATCCATGAATTTGACAATTTCCTACAAAGCACGGACAAACCATTTTGATGTAGCCTGTCAGATATGTGTCTGACACTAGTCCTTGCATGTCCAATTTAAAAAAAATATTTTTTTCGACTCCAATGTGGGTACAACACAACATGAACACAGTTGTTTTAAGTTTAAAAAAATAAGGCAAGGGTACTTTTGTCAAGTAACAAATTCACTTCTCACAACTTTTTACACTTCATTTTGACATGTATGACATACATCAAGATATTTTAAATCTTTAAGCTTATTATATATACAATATTAAGAACTACGAATCTTTTTCCTTATATTATCAATTTTATATATGTATCATTTAATCATCGTTTTGCTTTCCCTTGGCTGGGTGCAGTGACTCACTTATCAAGTAGAGCCTTTCACCTACCCGAACAACTTCTAAGAAAGACATGAAACTAGAAATCCAAAATTGTTCGTTGTAAGTTACTCAATATGATAATGCATCCTTGAAAAGGATAAAACCTAGTAATAAAGTCAAAAAAGGTGACAGTTCAAGTGGCTAGGCTCACAAGGCGTTGTGAGCTAGAAGTGCAACAGCCTGTAATCCCTCCACTGTTAGGAGCAAGAGGTGTTCGCTGCTCTGTGAAGCCAGCCTCACGCAGTGCCCTCATGTTCAGGGGCCAAGAGACCTGTGCCTTCGCTCAAATCCCATGGCTCAACTCTCAACTTGGAGAGGGCAGGCCAGAACAGTGCAGCATCTTACCCAACCTAGCATAGCCAGAACCATGTTCCATCACCTTGGTGCCCCCACTTGGATTACAAGCTGGCGCTACCCAACTCGGCATACTGACATGCATGTCAGAGGCTTTATATAGTCTAATTTGTGTCATATTCTAGCCAATGTGGGACTTCTAAATGCCAAGAAGAATAATGGGTCTAAGGTTGTGTAGTTTACAGAATTACTTGGATAAAAAGCTGGCTCTTTTAGGTACTTGAATATTTCCCAACTGCTCCGGTCCATTTACAGTTATTGCTTAAGTTGGATTGTGATCTGTTCCAACAGTTTACTTTATCCTCCCCAGCTACTTTCTCCATGTTATAACACTAACACAAAATTGTTGCACGTGATGCAATACAGGTTTTCCACTAACAATTAAACGATCTTACTGGGTTGGATCCATTTGAGAGTGAAGGAAAAAACATGGAGATGACTCCTACACATTGAAATTTGAAGTAGCAGTTTGTATTTGATTGCCGAGGTTATGTACGTGGATGTGGGTAGGGTGTATCACATTCTAAACTCTGAATTTGCTTGCTAGTGTGAAATTGAGTCCATGAAGCACAGAAGACACACGACATGACACGGACACGGCATAATGCTATTGACTCAATTTCACACTAGCAAGCAAATTCAGTGTCTACAATGTGATACGCCCCACCCACATTCACATTCTAATAATCGAATTAAATTCCAAGACAAGATAGTAGTGAGTTTTGAGTCAAGGCCTTAACTTCTACGCCTTAAAAACAAGTGTATTTTGAACAAAAAGGGCAAGTTAAAGACATCCAGTAGCTTTAATAGTTAACCCATGTTGCCATTTGAAACACCATTTGGCCTCTCTCTTGCTTTCTTCACTTAAAGCACAAGCAAAGTTAGGTTCAGGTTGCACCCAGAAACCCTTCAACAAGGTTTCCTTCAGATAAATTTATATATCCTATAAATTTTTCCCCTTTTAGGGAAAAAAATTCATAAACCCACTAATCAAAGCAAATGTTCAAATCAAATTCATTAAAAAACAGCAAGTGAGTGTACAATAAGAGAAAGAAATGATGGATTGGAATTGAAACCTGAGGAACCTCAATTGGCTGATTGAGTTCACCAGGGGTGATATCTTCCAGAGGGGCTTGATCTTTAGTCAGCTTCACATAACGCGATTGATTCATTTCTTCCATCTAAACGATTTCCACGATTATCAACAAATGAGTCACTGAAAAACTATTCTGTTTGGATGGTGAGAAACTAAAAGAAAAAAAAAATTAATAAAAAAAGAAAACTGATAGGATCTAAAGGATTGCGGGCAACCTGCGATGTTTTCGTTGTTGATCTCCGAAACAAAGTGAGAAAACTAAAAGAAAAGAAAGGAACCAACGTTTGGACACTGCTTGCTTTGAGTCAACTTCCCCCTGCGTTTCTTTATCTCCAGTTATTACTTATTAAGGTAACAATTTTTATTTTTATTTTTGCTAAATTTATTTTGTAAATAGTAACTATGTTTTATTTAACAGCTATGTTAACAACAAATGTCAAAAAAAGTTATGCAAAAATACACTTCACTTCCCTGATAAAGTAACATTTGTTTCTTTTGACTACATTAAACTTCTCTCATAATATAACTTTCAATACCAGTTAATATAGTTCGTGTTAAAAATTAACATTTTCGATTACATCACAGTTGTTCTAATTGAGATACTGCTCGTGTTATATTTATGTTTTATTCATCGTCTAATTTGATGATTTGTCACAAAAATATAATGACTTGTTTGATTGTCTTTTTTTTTTTTTATCTTGAAACTGTTCCATAGAATAATTAATGTTTTATATTTTTTATTTTAAAAATTAAAGTCAAAACATAAAACAGAAATCGCTTAGGCCCCGTTTAGTACGCGGGATTCTTAGAGATTTTTAAGAAATTGAATTTTTTTAAATTTTTAATTTTCAGATATTATTGTAAACTGAATGTAAAAATCATATTTCTGAAAATTGAGATTTCCGGACAAAAAAAAATTTCTCCTCTACCAAACATTTCCTTAGACATGTTTTTTTTTCAAAATTTTATTTTAAAAATTAAAAACTAAATATAATTTTTAAAATTATTTTTGCTAAACAGATATTGTCAAATAAATTTTTGTATTATAAAAATTAAAAAGTTATTTTTGAAAATAGAATCAAAAGTTATTTCAAATTAAATTGCAAATTTGAATGCTTGGATTGATCACTTTGTTGTTTGGGAGAAAAACTCAATTGCACCGGGATCACCGAAATCAATGGTCTCTTTTATTAAAAAAGAAAAAAATGTAGAACTTAAAGAAAAATATAAAAAACATTGATTAAAAGGGAAAAATTCCTTGTTAATAAAAAGTAAAAAGCAAACCACAATTTCCAAGAGCTCAACCGAAGTTGAAAATCGAGCTATGATTGCAACAGCTGCTGAGTTATGTTGGTTGACCCAGCTTTTATCTGATCTCGGAGATTCATCTCACTCGCCTGCTCTTCTTCTTTGTGACAACCAAGCGGCTGTTCACATTGCTTTGAATCCTATCTTCCACGAGCGAACGAAACATATAGAGATAGACTGTCACTTTGAGTGAGAACAAGTCATCTCTGGCCGCATCAAGTTAATGTCCATCAGATCACGTGACCAACTTGTAGACTTATTTACTAAGGCTTTACCTACTTTATTTTTTCTTCTATTGTCCAAGATGGCAGTGTTGGATATCCACCGTCTATCTCGAGGGAGAGTAATAGCATTTAGCAAAGTCTTACTTTTTTACTGTGCTATACTCTTTTAACTCATTTGGTTAGTTATTTACTTTAGTTAGTTAATTTATCCTGGGCTAGTTAATTTTGTTTAGCTGTCAGTAGCTTTGCTTTGGATTTTCTTTTTCCAGTTTGTATTTTCTGGTAAGTACATATTGTAAGCAACTTTTGTTTGGTTCGAACCTCTGGAGATATCAATGAAAATCATCTTATTTACGTTCTGAGTTGTGTGGGTGAAATGCAACAATTGTGCGGGTGATAATGCAAGTATGCAACAATTGACGATACAGATTGATTATAAAAGAAATTAAAAAATAAAATTCTACACAAGAAGGGCTGGTTGAAAATAGTCTTCGAAATATTGAAAAGCAAGCAATACCATCATGTGGAATAAAAATTTAAATATTGTTTTTTTAATAATTAATTAGGAATACACAACTGTTTTATAACTAAATACGAATGTATTGCGTTCAGTCACGTCTGGAATTGGACGTGACCACTTACGCCCAGGACCAGGCGTGTTCAAAGAGAGAGACATGCCCAACATGGGGTATGACCTGGGATGAGAGAGACATGCCCAAGACCAGTCGTGACCTGGGAGAAAGACACGGCGTGACTCAAGACCGTGCATAATTTGGGCGTAAATAACCCAATTCTCCCCTATTTAAAACCCTCTCATCTCCACACTCATCACAACTCTTCTCCATCATAAACTCTACTTTTACATACATTATCACTTGTTTATTCATACTCTGTTTTGTGTTTTTTGTTAATTTATTTAAGAATGAGTCCAAATTCTGATTTTATTCGTGTTGTTATATATTATAATGGTAGAAAAGTGGAAGGTCGATGTGGAGTAGTTTTTGAAGGCGAGAAAAGGCCAACACGTATTAAGCGTAACGCAACAGTTCACGAACTGAATCAGAAAATTCGCCAGAAATTAGCTCTCGGAGATAACTAATCTATCCTTCTAGTTACGATAAGATTATGGCAATCTGAACAATACATTAGTTTGCAAGTTATTGATGATGAAGACGTAAATATGGTAATGGAAGAATTCGTCAACCAGTCAAGGAAAAATTTTCTTAGAGTTGGATGTGTATAATGCCGATGTAGAGAATGTTGTTTTACCCATGAGGTCAGTTGCTTTCGATTCTCCACGTAATGCATATTCATCTGTTGCTCCAGTTGTTAACATGTCTGAGGAAGATGAAAATGACCCTACCTGAGTGATGGATGACGACTATGATGATGACGATGATCGTCTTCTTGCCTAGGAAGCTAGTGCTTCGGACAATGATGAGGATCGTGGTCGATTTGTGACTCAAATCCAGCATATCATGATCGGGGGAGTCTCGAGTCCCAAAGCATCATGACATGGGCTCGAGTCAATTACCACAACATCCTGAAGGTATGTTAGTAAACAAATGAGCGAGAACAGCAGACCCCTAACTATATTCGCCAATCTGCTCAAACTCCCCTCCAAGGCAATGGAATGTAACAACATGCAATTTTGCTACCCCTGATCTGTCACTGAGGAGCCATGACCTTAATATACGCGCAATGTGCGCCTTAGTGTAACGCCTCACCTCCTCGGGATTCTCAGCAACTAGACCCCAATGGGTATATAGTCTATCAAGGTATAAAATCGGTAGATCACCACCAAATAGCTTAGTGCCCTCAATGGGAACATAACCAAAAACCTGCTCACACTCGGCCGACCAATCCAAAGCGGTTTATCTAGTAACTACTTGGCCATCAGTAGGCAATCCAAGTATAAACACCATGTCCTATAATATAATCATTATCTCACCCTGCGTCATATAAAACGTATGTGTCTCTGGTCTCCACCTCTCAACCAAAGCACTAATAAGGACGACATCAATCCGAAATATAGATGACAATTATCAATTCATATGTCAACAATGAACTAATTTATAAAAATTAGTGTAAACACAATATAATACACTACATTCTAAAATACATACCTGAATATGACGCATACGTGCCACATGTATGAAACCGACCTATGTGAGCTAGTAAACGACCACGTCTGGAATATCCGCATGAGGGGGTCCCCTGTAGTTTACCTTGACAAGTCTTCAACGCTCTAATCTTATCCTCGTTCCACACGGTCTGTGAAATGTGGGTGCGTTGTGTCCTCCTCCGAAGTACCTCCCACCTTTTTGGTCCATGAAGGACATGTGTAGATGGATCGAAAGGCTCGTGCTCCTGGGTCATACCTGGTACTGGACGTGTCTCTCTCCTCCCAGGTCATACCTCATGTTGGGCGTGTCTGTCTCTTCGAACACGTCTGGTCTTGGGCGTGAGTGGTCATTCCCAAGTCTGGACGTGACTGAGAGTACAATACATTCGTATTTTATTTTATTTTGGTAATCTCAATACATTCTTATTTAATTGTAAAATAATTGTGTATACGTAATTAATTATTAAAAAAATAATATTTAATCTTTTTTGCCTCCATCATATAATGACATGGACCATGCTATAAGAGGGATTTAATAAATAAAAGATATTTTAAGGGGATTAACTAATACATAATCTATAATTAAGGGGAATAAAATAAGTATATTTTATTCAAAAAGCTTTTTACGTAATCCATACAAATCTCATATGACTTACAATTACATTGAAAATTGCAGTTACGTTGCAGTAATTATGATTGACAAATTTCATGATTGGTTTCGCACAATATATTTCGGTGGAAATAACATGACTGTATTTTCTAGTAAACTAATGAATTGTTAAATGTTCAGTATTTTATTAGTCAGGTCGGTCATTTATTATATTATTATTTTTAATCTAAATGTTTATATACGTCTTTTGTAATAAAAGTTAATATTTGTATTAAAACTTAACAAAATTTATTTTAATTAATTTTTTTTAATAGGTTGTGTGGCGTCCGGCCTCTGGCGGCAAAACGCTGTTAAAACAATTCCAACAATTAGAACTAGAATTTGGTTTACCAATTACCGCTGCTTCTTTCTTTTTCTTTCCTTTTTTTTTATTTTTTATAAGCAGACCAGAAATAATTATGTTCTTTTTATTTAATTTTTTGATAAAATTATTTCCTACATCATAAAAAATACTAATCATTTTAATATTAGGAAAAAATGTTCCCCTGGAGTGCATATTTTAAACAATGTGTACGTACCAAAAACAAATACTTAAAAATTTCTCAGCAAAATATACGTGAAATAATTATTTAATCCATTATAATAACGTAAGTTTTTTTTGCATCATCGCTGCCTTTGTCAACATAATAATGATCAATTAGAAACTGAAATATTTTTATTAAATTTACGGACTTAACATTTATGAAGCACCCGACACTTCAAACATCCTGACGTGTCGTGTCCGACACTCCCCGACACTTCAATACACGTTATAGAAATTCAAAAAAAGGTTCAAAGGTTGCATTGCGTTCAGTTTTTAGTTTCAACTATTAGATTCGTTGAATTACGATTATCATTTTATTGAGTTTAATATAAATATATATGATATCTTATGTTTCTTTGCAAAATTGATCAATATTATAAGTTGAGTTTCATTTTTTTGTTAAATTATTGAATATTAAATATAATATACACTACATAAATTAAAAATATTATTTAATATCAAAACG